ATCAATTTTCAGACACACTGTTATTTTATGTACCACTAAGAAAAGTTGCCAATTAAACCATGCCAATTTTAAGATACCATTCCATCTTAGATATGCATCTTAAAACATCAATTAAATTGCTTAATTAAAAATCTCAGTGGTATGTCCATAATAACTCATTTTCATCCATATAAGCATGGATTTTTGCCCATTCAACAATGTATACCCCACGCCTAAACACTGTAACAGTTTCCATACCTATGCAAGTCATATTATTTGGTTCAGTTCTGTACAGATGAATATAAAAAGTAGTAATGTTTTTTAAGTAGTAAAGGAAAAAAAGGGAGTGACCTCTTTTTATCCTGGAGTGTGATATTGCTTGCTCAAAGTAATAAAAATTAATTACTCTCAATTTAGGTAATTTTCCAATCCAAAAGTATTCAATGAACCTATCCCAAGTCAATTTAAAATATATCTATTTTGGTAACACCTTTCAAAAGTCACAACCAATGAACAATAAACATCTTACAGCAAGAAGCAATTTATCCACTAAACAAAACGGGAAAATAAACTTGCTTTCTAATTTTAACAACCATTGAAGAAATTTATAATGTTACACTGTAGCTACATAATAGTCAGAGTTGAACTTTCTTAATTTGCATTTTCCCCTAAACTTCATCACTGAGTTTCATGTGAAAAATCAATTTCTAACTAATCATGCCAGGAGGACTAAGGACATATATGATTACAGGTCATTTTAATTTTCACCTCTGTACACAACCACATTTTCTAAATTCTCTAATATGGATATTAGTATGTAAGAATGATGGTTATTTAAAAAGTGGTTATACAGTAATAATTTGTATTTTATTTAATTCAGGCCTTTTTAGTTATTTACACATATTGCTGTCACTTCACAACTCTATTCTAGTCTCAAACTCTTCAATTATTCAAGAGTTTAGTTGTCAACATGTCTAATAAGAATTTCCATTACACAAAGCAAATTTTTCAGACAGAAGGACACAGGTGCTAATCTTGTCTCCCACCTGAAATTCTAGAATAATCAATGAAAGTGCCAGTAGCCAAGGGTCTGATTTTTTGGTATGTTAGACATGTCAGAAAGAACAGGTGAAAAATTTTCCCAACAAAAATTGTTTGTGTCAGTTAAATCCTGCCTTTTTCTGTAATCTATCCTATATAATAAAGAGCTAATATGCAAATGGCCATCACGCTCTTGCGCCCTCATGCCCTAGCACCAGGGGACCTGAGGCCACGCCCCCTGCCCAGTGCCAGGCTGGGGGACCTGAGGCTGAGCTCCCCGCCCGGTGGGGCATGACGGGGGACCTAAGGCTGCACCCACCGCCTGGCACCGGGCCAGAGGACCTGAGGCTATGCCCCCAGTCCTACGGGGCTTGATGGCAGTGGGGCTAGCTGGGTCTGGGTCTCGCACAATTTCGAGGCATGCGTGGGCAGGCTGGGACTTGACTCTGGGTCCCATGGCACACCCCCAGACTCTGACAGGAGGGAGATTTTCATATACATTTTACTAATTTTCTTTCATCTCTGACACTTCCATTATAGAGAAAGGGCAAATAGCAATATTAAAATATTTCCTCTAATTAATTCCTTTTTAATGTGCATGAATTTTGTGCACTGGGCCTCTAGTGTATACATATATAAAAAGCCAGTGACCAGAATGCTGTAACAACCAGACTGGCCGGTCGCTATGACACCCACTGCAGCCAGCGAACCGCCCATTGGGGGGGACCGCTGGAAAACGCCCTGCAGCCCTTCCCCCTGGCGAGCCCCGTTCCCCCACCCTGATCGGCCTGCAGCCCCTCCCCCAAGCCGGCCCACCCCTGATCTCCCCCCCACCCCAATAGGGGGTGGGGTCGGCCGGCCAACCTCCTGCAGCTCCTCCCCCCAGCCGCCCACCTTCAATGAGCCCCTCCCCCCAGCTGGCCCCACCCCTGATTGCCCCCCTACCCCAATAGGGGGTGGGTCTGGCTGGCAAACCTCCTGTAGCCCCTCCTCCCACCTGGCCCCACGCCAGATCATTCCCCCTTCCCTCCCCCCCATCAGGCACAGGACCATCGGCCAAACGCCTGCGGCCTCCCCCCCCCCCCCCCCGCCAGTCCCACCCCCGATGGGCCCCCATCATCTCCATCAGCCCACGGCCCATCCCCCCAGCCAGCTCCACCCCCAATCAGCCCCCACCATACCAATTCGGGGTGTGGCTGGCTGGCCAACCTCCCACAGCCCCTCCCCTGGCCGCTGACCCCCGATCACCCCCCCCCACCCATTCAGAGGCAGGGCCAGCTGGCCCACTGCACACAGCCCCTCCCCACGACTGCCCTGCGGCTCCCCACCCCAATTGGCTCCCCACCCCAATTGGGGGCAGGATCTGCCAGTCAATTGCCTTCGGCCCCACCCCCCAGCTGGCCCAGCCCTGATTGGGACCCGATCAGGGCGGGCCAGCCGGCCAACCTCCCACCATCTCCTCCTTCCAACAGGTCTGGCCCCAATCCGCCCTGATTGGCCAGGCCCGCCAGACCCCACCCATGCATGAATTGGTGCACTGGGCCTCTAGTAAATTATAATTAAGGCTGTTCATTACAGTAGGTCACACAGGGGCTAGTACTATCTCCTAAGAGACATGATCAGTGATCAAAATGACTGGAGACACCACTGTGTTTGGGGGCCAAGATGCATGGAACATACCCATGTAGTGAAGATTTGTCCTGAGAATCTTTTAAATATCCAGCTAGATTAATCACGATAAAATGGCATTACTTTAGGACAGTGGGTCTCAACCTTCCTAATGCCGTGACCCTTTAATACAGTTCCTCATGTTGTGGTGACCCCCAACCATAAAATTATTTTCGTTGCTACTTCATAACTAATTTTGCTACCATTGTGAATCGTCATGTAAATATCTGATATGCAGGATGTATTTTCATTGTTACAAATGGAACATAATTAAAGTATAGTGATTAATCACAAAAACAATATGTAATTATATATGTGTTTTCCGATGGTCTTAGGCGACCTCTGTGAAAGGGTCGTTCGACCCTGCTTTAGGACATAACACTGAAAAGTTTTTATAGTATGGAAAACCCAAGGTAATTTAGGAGAATATAGCTAATGTGAAGAAAGTTGAGATAAAATAACTAATGTCTAAAAATCAGTGACCATTTTTCTCACATCACATACTGTTATTGCAATGTCATAAGATTGAACATATCTAAACTCGTGAGATACTGGCACTGAAGCCTTAAATTTCAATCTTGTTATTTTATTCATTATTATCAGTAAGCAGAAAGAATCCAGTATGTGTCTCTAAGCTTGTGACACAAAAGGTGCCGTATAATGTAACTTGAAAATATGGCAGTCACAGAGGGGTTATATTAATATTATTTGTGTGTTGATTGTGATAGTCTATAATTTATGGTGTCATTTTATCTCTAATTTAATTTAAGTTGTTTACTATCATAACAAAGGGTTTTTGCAATGCTTAGATGTCCTCCCACTGGAGCCCCCCTCCCCACACACACAGTGCCCATCTCTATCTCTGGCCCTTGTTTTTCTTGTTAGAAATAGCTCCTAATATTTTTATCGCTCTTCGATCCAAATGCACTCATTGGAAGCAGGTGCAAACACCCAGGCACGTGCTCTCTCCTAACAGAGTATGTGCTACAATGAATGATATGGCAATGCATGTCCCACACGGCTCGCCTTTTAGATCTCCCTTGCATTTAAACCGGAGCATCACACTGATCGTGTCCATTTCGCGGTAAGGTCCATTTCAGGGCAGGAAAGTGGGCTTTATAAATGTTTGCGGCAAAGGGAAGGAGCCTTGGTTCAGAGCATCACTGCTCCGAATAGCAGAATCACATGCTTAACCAAAATCAAACTTAAGAACTTTCCGCTGCCTAACGAATACAAGTCCGCGGATCCAATATTCCAATTCCACTGGACCTGACGCCCGCCGCTGCCCGAAGCCCACGTCTGCTCCCGCACAGGAACCAGCAAGAGTTCTTGACCATTTCGGGATCAAGGACCCTTTGGGGAATTTGACAAAAGCCAAGGACCACCTCCCAAGAAACTCCTATACAAAGCTGCATCAACCTGGGAGGGCGGGGACGGTGGGGGCTCCCAGACACACCCGCTGCAGCCCGACGGGGACCCGAGGAAGAGAACTCCAGCCTGAGCTCCCCGAGCGTGGGGGCGGGGAAAGGGTGGGCGGCAAGGGCGGGCGTCAGTCAGGGTGCCCGGTCTGAGCCCCCAGCCCAGCCCTTCCCCGCAGCGTGAGTGACTTCGGGCAGGGAGCTTCGCCTCTCGGTGCAGCACCGGAGGGCACCCGCGCAAGTTCAGTGCCCAGCGCACAGGAAAGGCTCAAACGGTGCTGGCACCGCCAGCAGCACCGCGTCCTCGGCGCCACACCGCTGCCGGAGTGGGAGGGGTGGGGGGGACCGAGGCGGGCGCCGGGGTCGCACCCGAGCAGGCTCCGGCTGCAGGGGGACCGGCCCGGGCGGCCCCGGCCAGGCCGCCCCGCCCCGTCCGCGCGGGTCCCGGGACGGGGCGGACCGGGCGGCTCCGCTGCAGCCGCGGGGCGAGCTGGGACTGCCGCCCAGGACGCGGGCCGCCCGCCCGGCCCGTTCCCCCGTCGGACCCTCGGTTCTCCGCTGCTCTCACCCCGTCTTCGGCCCCCAACGGTCGCCACTACCGCCCGCAGCTCACCTCCCCGGCCGCTGCCGCTGCTGCCGCCGCCGCCGCTACCGCCGCCGCGCGCGATCTCGCGAGACTTCGCTCCCCTCGGGCTCCCCGGCGCTTCCCCGCCCTCCCGCAGCCGGCGCGCACGGACCGGAGCCTGGAATAGACGCGGCGCGCTCCCTATAAGCTGCCCCCGGCTTCGGGGTCTGGCCTAGCGGTGCTTGGCGCCTTGCGTCCCAGTCGTTACACCCATTCCGCCCACCGCCGTGCAGGTGAAGGGTTAAAAGCCAGGTGCGAGACAGGCGGCCGCCACCCTCTCACCTGGCCGGCCGGTGCGCGTGCGCATGCGCGCGCCTGGAGCCCTGGACCTGGGAGCCTTTGCAAAGGCTCTGGCCTCAGTGACAGTAATCCCAGCAGCTGGTCTCCAGGGCATATGTGTGCCCAGTGCTTTTACAACTCCCATCGGGTCCTCGCAGCAGCCCCCAAGAAATGGGTATTACCATACTCCCCATTCCAGAGAGGAAGAAATGGAGGCCTGGCAAGGTTAAGTCACTAGCTCCAGGACACAAGGTAGGAATTGGCATCTGGGGTTGTCTGACTCCCAAGCCAAAGCCCCATTTCCCCCTCCATGACAAGCCCCCACAGGCCCTGGCCCTGCCCCCCTTCCGCTGAGAACACTAGTCTCAGCACCAGTCTTTACTTCCCTCCCAAGGTTCGCCCAGGTGATAGCCCTAGGCGATTAGTTGCTACAGTCCCTCTGGTTTTTTGGAGCTGCTGTCAGGAAAACACTTCTCCCAAATTACACAACCTTCCTAAAGGCCTCCCTGTTCCAGGCCCTGTACCGCGCCCTGAAAACGATCTGAATATATTTCGTTCTATCGCCTCTCCAGACCAGTGGCATTTTGACGATGGTAGAGAGCATAGTAGTTCTATGGGACACAGGACATAGAACCAGACTATATGTGATATTAGGGGGCATAGAGAACCATATGACTACTTCTTAAGGGTAAAATCGTAACATTATAAACAGTAGTTTCCCCATATCCAGGGTTTCGCTCTCTGCCGTTTCAGTCACCTGTGGTCAACCACAGTCCAAAAATATTAAATGGAAAATTCCAGAAATAGTTCATAAGTTTTAAAGTGCAGGCCATTCTGACTCGTGTGATGAAATCTCGAGCCTTCCGTTCTGTCCAGACCGGGACATGAATCATCCCTCGGTCCAGCTATCCTTGCTTTATGTGCTCTCCTTCTGTTAGTCACTCAGTAGCTGCCTCTCTTATCTCATCAAATGCCTTTGGATCATAGTGCTTGTGTTCAAGTAACCCTTTTTTCATTGTATGTATGTATAGGAAAAAACATAGTGTAGGTAAGAGTTCAGTACTATCCCAGGTGTAAGGCATCCACTGGGGGTCTTGGAACATATTCCCCACAAATACTCTTATTGTCATTGTTTCTAAAGAAGAGGAACTAGCATTTATTGAGGGCATTTCAAGGTCACTACCAATAGTCTTCCAAGTTAAGTCATAGGAAAATGGAGACTCAGGGAGATGAAGAAACTGACCTATGTTTCTGTAATGAGACAGGATTTGCACTTGGGTCTGAATTCAGAGCTAACTACTTACTGCCTTGCACTAAAGTCCCAGGAGCTAGCATGAGCTAGTTGGGCTGGGCCAACAAGCTGTTGTAAAATCAAGAGCCTTGGAGGTTCTATCAGGGGTGGGCAAACTTTTTGACTCGAGGGCCACAATGGGTTCTTAAACTGGACTGGAGGGCCAGAACAAAAGCATGGATGGAGTGTTTGTGTGAACTAATATAAATTCAAAGTAAACATCATTACATAAAAGGGTACGGTCTTCTTTTTTTTTTAAGTTTTATTCATTTCAAACGGGCCAGATCCGGCCCGCGGGCTGTAGTTTGCCCACGGCTAGCTATCCCTTCACCATCAGGGCCTTACTCAGCCCACCTGACAGTCACATCGATGTCAACAAAAGTTGGCTTGCCCACCCTGCAAGCCTGTCCACTCCCTCCAGAAACAATGCCACTCTCAAAGGTCATAGGTGTCCCTCCATGGGCCAGCATCACTCAAGCCACCCGATCGAGGAAGTGAGAGAGGAAGGGAAATCACATCCGATAAGCAGCAGCAAGGTGTCAAATACTACTCCAGGTGCTATACAGTCACTAACTCATTTAGTCCTCCCAACAGCCCCACGTGGATGGTATAATTGCACCCATTTTAAAGTTAAGAAAATCAAGGAACTAAGAGGGGAGAGAACTTGCCAAGGGTACACAGTTGGTAAGTGGGAGGGCTGGGGTTACACTTCAAGTCAGGCTATACCCCAAACCACGTACTTTGACCTCAGTGACCAACAAGGTTCTTCCCTGCTCCCTAAAACTTATGTCTTCATGAAGCTAAAAATCCCCTGAGTTCAGGACTCCAGTCTGAGATACTGTATATTTTCCTCCAGGTAGAACAGGCCTCAATATTCTCATCTAAAATAAGGACATAAGCCCAGTGGCTCAGTGGTTGAGTGTCCACACATGAATCAAGAGGTCACTGGATCAATTTTCAGTCAGGGCACATGCCCAGATTGCAGGCTTTAATCCCCAGCAGGGGATGTGCAGGAGGCAGCTGATAGATGTTTCTCTCTCATCAATGTTTCTATCTCTCTTCTTTCCTCTCTCTCTCTAAAAAATCAATTAAAAATACATAAGGAAGGGGTTTCTAAATTCAAAATAATTTATCCTATTTCTGACTACTCCACTTTTCATATGATATAGAGAGTTCTGTTTTTTTTTTAAAAAGGATATACATGGGTTGTTGGGAGGATTAACCAAGTTAATATTTGTGAAGCATGTACGAAAGTGCCTTGCACAGGTTAAGCTCAGTAAATTATAGCTATTATTACCCTGGGGATTTCTGTGATATTTCGTTCGTTCCTCATCTCTCAACATAAACTCCAAGTCAGTTTGGAGGGATGTGGCCTTATCTGCTCAGGCATAGGGATAAAATTAGTTTCTAGCACTCTGGAAACAATAAATGCTCTTTAATGGACAAAATTACTCCTGTTCTTCCTCCTTATCATGAAAAGAGAATAGTCTCTTCTCCAGCTCTTCCCAGTTTCCTGGAAGACTAGCAGCTGGTTTTTAAAAAGGCTCCCCTTGTATAGAAAAACTCACCCAAATATTTTTAAGTTGTTGGCAAAAAAAAAAAAAAAAAAAAAAGCTGAATCTTTTCAGAGAATTTTGGTGAGGCTGGAAGTTAATATAACTATAGTGATATGATTCGGGGGAAGGTTTTTACAGGAACTGAAGCTGCCATCACCCTCAGCCATGGAACCCCAAAGTGAGGTTTCTACCCTGACCCAAGGCACAACACACGTTCCCATCAATGGCAGTGTGCTGCTGTGGAAGTGATTCTCACCATGCAAGGGGTGGATGTAACAGGATCCATTGAAGACATAGTTTGACAAAAACACACACACACAAAACAACTGAGGTGATTCTATATGCACACCTGTAAAGGCTTAATGTACAGTTCCCAAAAAGCGCTATTTAAATATCTGTTGATCCAAGAGGAATTTTATACATGCCTAAAATGGATTCATTTAATGCTCACTCATTCATTAAAAACATATTAAGCACTTAAGTGCCAGTTATTGCTTGAGTAGCTATGAGTAAGACAGATCATGGTCCATGCTCTCATCACATTTATGGCCTAGGAGAGAGAGGTGTTAATTAAATAATTGAACCTATAAACGTTGAAATGTTATGTGATAAATAGGATAAAAAGGAACAGCAAATGACTCCCTGACCTCCCCACCCCCCAAAAAAAAGTCTGGGTGGAAAAGTAGGAAAGAACTTGTTTGAACTAAGTTCTGAAGGATGCATTAGAGTGCACTAGGAGGAGAGGGGAGAACATTCCAGAGATAGGGATGGCATGGATCAGCAAGGAGAAGGTGAGTGTTGGCACCTGGGAAGACAAGAGGGTGGTGGGGCCTGTAGAGGCATCTCAGAGATGTATGTACCCTGAGCATATGGGGAGAGAGGAGAGAACCCAACTGGAGGCAGAAGAGGGATGTGTTGAATGCCATTGGTCCCCACATACCCATTCTGCCCTGTTGGCCAATCCAAGCTCATGGAATCCTGATACCTCTGTCCCACTGGTGCTTGGTCAAGGATGACACAGCTGTCATGTCTCTAGCCAATGTTTGATTTGAGGAAATCAGACATTATAAGGTCCCAGCACCCTGGAGCAGAAATTCGGCTGCCCATCTCCTGCCTACCTCGCAACTAGGACTGGGAGATGATGTAGGCTCTGCCAGCCACAGGTGCCACGTGAGGCTGCGCCTGGGTTCTGTTGATGTGACCGGTGGCGACAGCAGCCAGCTCTGGGGATGGTGGTGCAGAGTGGAGCTCCTGATGGAGAGCTGCACCGGTGCTGATGGCAGTGGTGGCTGTAGTGAGAGCAGACTTGGGAGGGTGGCAGCTAGCTCATGGGGCCAGGCCTGCAGTGTGGTTTGGGGCATTTTTCCTAGAAGCTTAGCCTCAAGTTCCTTCCTCCAGCCCACCAATGATTCTGTGGGATATCCAGCTTCCTTTATTACATTCTCCTTTCTGCCCAAACCAGCTAGCATTTCCACCGAGAACGCTGATCCTTCACAGGCAAAGCCCATTGGAGCCAATGAGACTTGGCGAGAGTCTTGCTAAGATTAGTGGCCAGGGGAACTTTCTCTGCTGTAAGAGAGACCTGAGGAAGCCAGCTCACTCTCCCTGCCTGACGTGGACCTCAGTTGCCACCAATGGCTCTTCCCACAACTGTGGGGTAAGATAGGGCCTGAATGGCACAGAGCAGAGCAGAGAAACCAAAGGACCCTGAGTTTTTAACATCAGCAGCTGCTGGACTGACCCTAGACGTGCGAGGCCCGGATGTCCCCTTCCCTGAGCTGATGCATGTGGTTAAACCAACTTGAGTTGGCCTGTCTGTTTCTTGCAGCCCAAACATTCACACTGGTGCAGGGAGGAAGGGGGAAACTTATGGGGAACAGGCATGTATCTTCCCTGGCTGTGTCAGGAGGCACCCAAAATCCTGGGCCATCTTCCACATCTACCCTTCACCCTGCCCCTGCCCCCACCACACACACACATATTCCACATACTCCCACCAATATCAATACCATTCAGGTAATCCCTGCCTGGCTTTAAACACTCCATTCATGAAAACACATTCTTTCTTAGCCCCTCCCCTCTTTTGACCCTTTCTTTGATGAGCACTGTGTGTTTCCGTTACTTGCTCAGTTCACACACCTGGTACATGGCAGAGCTGAAGGTCTGGAGGCAATCCAGATCCCAAACTTTTAGCCACTAATTTTAATGCTATATACCATCCAGCCTCCTTACATTAAAATATATATATATATATATATATGGCCTTTAGCTCCAATCCACCTCCATATTTGTTTTCTGGCTTTGAGCAAGCTTCTTGGGTCTCACTTGGAGGTGAAAATGAAGTGAATGATGCAAGCTCCGTAAAGTCTGCCAGTCATCTGTGCTGTTTGCCCATGACCTCTGGC